GCAGTCTGGGAGGAAGCTGGACTGTGGGCCCCATTCTGCAAATGGGGGACTTGGGCATGGAGGCTAGTGTTGCCCAAGGGGGCCCAGCTCGAATAGGGTGAGGCTGGGCTTCCCACCAGACAGCCTGGATTTCCTGCTGACAGTCTCAATTATAGGCCAGAAGAAATGCCTTCTGGAAATTTAATCGGGAACGTCTTAGTCCAGCGGTTCTCAACCTGTGGGTCGCGACCCCTTTGGGGGTCAAACGACTCTTTCACCAGGGTCGCCTAAGACCATTGAAAAACACATATAATTACATATTATTTTTGTGATTAATCACTATGCTTTAATTATGTTCAATTTGTAACAATGAAATTGGGGGTCACCACAACATAAGGAACTGTATTAAGGGTCGCGGCATTAGGAAGGTTGAGAACCACTGGTAGTCCATCCGACCACAGAGCAGCAGGCTGCGAGGGCCAGGGCCCAGGCAGGGGTAGCCCCAGTTCCAGCTCTAACTCCGGGGCTGCGGCCTGGAGGTCATCTGCCCTCTCTGGGCCTGGGTTTCCCACCTGTGAAGTGAGCAGTGGCTCACATGACCTTCACATCCTGCCTGTCTGTGGTCGCAGGTGCCGACACTGAGGTCCTGGACCCCCTGCAGATTTCCTTCTCTCATAGCTGCCCACACACTCAGATGCCCCCTCGGCGGCTCTAAACCCTCTCCCCTACTACCTCAGTACAGCCTCGAAACGACCAAAAGAGCCAGGAGGGGTAGAAATTGCCATGCCCGTTTCCTGGTTAGGAAAACTGAGGCTCAGAGAGGACAATCTATTTGCCGAAGGGCAGGACAGTTCAGGTGGCGGGGAACAGACTTAAAGCCATTCCTCTGACTCCGGGTCTAGAGCGCTTTCCTCCAGCCCTCAGCTATTGCTTAGACAAAAAGGAGGAAGAGGATGGACTTCTTTGAACATCCAAGTTTGCGGTCATGAGGCTCCAAACATCGAACCTCAGAGATACAGCAAATCAGAGCGGGTGGTCTTGGAGACCTGGCAGTCATTCTGTCTGTCCTTGTAGGTATTCACCTGCTGCCCATGTATGGTCTCTTGCTTAGAGGGACAGTGCCCAGGGGCCGTCTCGAATTCCAGGGCCTGGGGCATCCACCAGGCCAGTGTTTCCCAAACTTTTTGAACAGTCTCTTCCCGCCATTCCAACCTGCGGATGCAGAGAAGGTCCTCAGGGGAGGGGCCTGCAAGGACATGGGCTGCCCTTCCCTTTGTTCTCTCAGGCGAAGAGTCAGGTGGGCACAGCTGGGGGCAAGATGCCAGGCCATTCACGTCCTCCCTGGGAGGCAGGGCACACCTGCGGGTAATTAGTCCCAATCAGGATGGGCCCAAACTGCTGACAATGCAGGAACCGGCCGGCCATGTCACCGCTTTGCAAATGGTGAGCAGTTTCTGAACCATGGCCCTGGCTGGTTGAGCAAGGGTTTCCAGGGGTCCTCAAACTATGGCCCGCGGGCCACATGCAAACACAAATATTGTATTTGTTCCCGTCTTGTTTTTTTACTTCAAAATAAGATATGTGCAGTGTGCATAGGAATTTGTTCTTAGTTTTTTTTTAAACTATAGTCCGGCCCTCCAACGGTCTGAGGGACAGTGAACTGGCCCCCTGTTTAAAAAGTTGGAGGACCCCTGGTTTAACCTAATATTTAATGTGGCACATAAACGACGGAGAGAAATAGACTCGTTCTCTAATGAGACCCTCCCTAGTCATCTCAGAGTGTGAGGGCTGGGATGGAGTAGCACCTGCCCAACCGCCTCCCCCAGACCTGGGGCTGGCACGCCCCAGCGAGAGCCCTGGGCTGCGAGAAGGGAAGGCCTGGGGCAGGAAGACTCACGCTTTCCCCTGAAGAGTTCAGAACTGGGTCAGCCCGTCCACTAACACAGGTGGAATTCAATTAAGGCCACATGGCGACGTGGAGGTCCACTCTACCCCAATAGCCCGTGGGGGCGCTCCTTCAAGACATCCTAACATTTTGCAGTGCGGTCAGCAACTGCCCCCTACAAGGTGTTTTGAAAATTTGTGGGGGCTTTTACATGATTGAGGGGCACTGTTGGTTCACAGCGGACGAGCCCCACACTATAGCTTTTCTTCATTCTACACTGTTGTCATGTCTGGCCAAACATTCCTGTAGGTGGAAAATCTATTTGTAATTATTTAAATCCAGAACTGAAATTCATTTACATATAAATGTGAACTTGCCGTTTCCATGGTCTTGCTGTATATATACTGCATTTGCTAGGAGGGCAACTACTGTGTAAGCCGGCCAAAGCCTGTACCTGTTTTAGCTGGAGCTTTGCCAAGGGGTGCTCACCTACGGGCAAAGTCGGGTTCACAGTATGAGTCAGTATGAGTCCCTATGTCCACACTCCTGCCTACGTCTGCATTCAGGGCTGTTGCATTCACGGTGATTCTGGGCATGGAGCAAGAGGGATAGGAGGGCCCGGCCGGCGTGGCTCAGTGGTTGGGTGTCGACCTATGAACCAGGAGGTCACAGTTTGATTCCCGGTCAGGGCACATGCCCAGGTTGTGGGCTTGGTTCCCAGTGGGGAGCGTGCAGGAGGCAGCCGATCAATGATTCTCTCTCATCGTTGATGTTTCTATCTCTCTCTCCTGCTCCTTTCCTCTCTGAAATCAATAAAAACATATTTCTAAAAAAAGGAGAGGGATAGGAGGGACCCAGACATTTTTAATGTATCTATATTGTTGAAGGCATTACAGAAGTCCCCCCTTTTTTCCCACTGACCCTCTCTACCCCACACCCCACACAGTTCTTTTTAATGGTTTCATAGTATTTTGTTCTGTGAAAGAGCCATCATTTATTTAATCAGCGCCTATTGATAGACATCGTGTTGTTTGCCATTATAAATAAATGTGTAATTAATATACAGATGTAGGTATCACTGTGCATCTGTGCAAATAAATCTGCGAGATAAAGTCCTAAGTGTGCATATAAAAGTTCTAGGTAAGAGGGTAGGAATTTCAAATTTTGATAGATATTGCCAAATTTCCCTCCATGACAGTGTATGAAAATATCTATTTCTCATACTCTCTCTAACACTAGACCTCAAGAAACATTTCAAATTTGGATAAGCTCATAAATTTTAAAAAATGTCTCATGATTGTCTTAATTTGCAATTTTATTATTATTTTTTGTTAATCCTTACCCAAGGATATTTTTTCCATTGATTTTTCGCAAGTGTGGGAGGGAGGAAGGCAGGGAGGGAGGGAGGGAGGAGAGAGAGACAAACATGGATGTAAGAGAGACATATTGATTGGTTGCCTCCTGTACATCCCTGACTGGGGTTGGGGATCCAACCTGCAACCCAGGTATGTGCCCTTGACCAGAAATCAAACCCATGACCATTCAGTGCCTGGGCTGGCGCTCTAACCACTGATCACACTGCCAGGGCTGCAGTTTTGAAATTATGAGTCAGGTGCATATCTTTTCATGTGCTGTTGGACATCCACATTTTTCAATGAATTTCATATTTATATTCTTTATCTTTTTCACTAATTTTCTTATTCATATCTAAAATCTCATTAGATATTAGGGAAATTGATGTTTTTTTCATCTGTGTTCTACTTTTTTTCCCCTACAATCTTATTCTTTGTCTTTTTCCAAACATACAAAAGACATTTATTTAAACAGTCACTTATATTATTTTTCTTTGTCTCATATTTGGAACAGATTTTAAAAGGCCTTCCCCACTCTAAGATTACAAAAATATTTCCCTTTTTTATCCTTTAGTTTTATTATGGTTTTATTATTTTACATTTAAAATTTGACCAACTTGGAGTTTTGATATAGAAAGTGTGGTATGGATCCAACAGGCCCACTTGTCCCAACGCCATTAACTGAATCCTTTACATTTTCTTTGGTTGTCTCTGTCACTCGTCACCGAGTCCTGCCTACCAGCCAACAGGGACCTCCCGCCACCTCAGCTGGACCTAAGGCTCTGGCCCAAGCGCCACCGTCAGCCCCCAGGGTCTGTCTGTGCAGCATCTGAGACTGCCTCCTGCCTGCGGGCTGGACAACCTCCCAGCGCTGGCAGCTGAGTCCGTCCCAGGGCTGCAGTCTGCCTGGGTCCCTCCATCCAGCCCCTCCTGAGCAGCAATCCCAGCAGTGACCAGCCACCATGAGAAAGAATAATAGCGACATGTATTGGTGTTTGCTGTATGCTGGACAAAGTCTAAGCACCTTATATGTATTAATGCATTAATCCTTACAACACTATGGGGTAGCTACTATCACCATTTTAGAGATTTAAAACACACACACACAGAGCCCATAATTCTTAGATAATTTACACAACATTACCCAGCTAGTCAATGACAAGTTCAACCCCAGCAGTGGGCCTCCAGGGCCCAAGCTCTTCATCTTTACACTGACAGCTAAAGAGGCGGCCCAGGCCTTCCAGAAAGGCGGCTGCTTTGCATACACCAGGCACCTTCAGCATAGACCTCCTGCCCTCTAAACTCAACCTCTGCCTGGAAATCTGAAATGCCAGCAACGATCTGCCAGGAGGCCCACTCATCCTCGAGGCTAGAGCCGACCAGGGCTGCCCGTCGCACGAGGGGGATAAATCCCAGGCCTTTGAACACTCGGCCCCACACACAGGGGACCCTGAAATCACCAGGCCCCATGACACGAGGCTTCCCTGCCACCCCTCCCAGCCAAGCCCATGAGGCATTTTCTCTCCTCCAGCTTCATCTGAGCAGTCTACAGCGGTGTCTCATCACAGCCAGGACCCTGGCCCCGGCAGTCTCCTGCCCGACCTTTTCCAGGACCTCAGAACCTCATTAAAACAGAAATGACCAGTCAGGTCCAAAAGCACCAGGAAGCCATTCTTCCCACCACAGAGGCACTCTCAGTCCCTCCCTTTCTCTCTCTCTTTCTTCCCGCCATTTACTCCCCCAACCCCACCCCCCCCACACACACACACCCCAGATGCCCTCACCTGTCACGATGGGGTAGGTCTGTGGCCCAGGCACGCTGCTCCCAATATCGGCAGGGGTGGGGCTGGTCAGGTTGGCCTTCATGTCGTCCAGCCCTCCAGCCAGGGAGGCCATGGCTGAATACTCAGGGGTCTGAAAGAGATAACAAAACAGAGACAACTCAGCATCGAGACTCCAAGTACCCCAGCTAAATGCCAACGCCACATGCTGGGCTCAGCCACCTGGCTGGGCTGCCCTGCCAGCGCCAAGGCCTCCAGGGGACTCACGGACGCCCGGGTGTTGAGAGGGCAAATTCGGCTCAACAGAACAAGACCATATCCAGAATCAGCGATCCTACCCAGGTGAAGAGGCGGGCAGGACTCGGTGCCGCTTCCTAAGAATTCAAACCCCGCTCCTCTGTGGCCTGCGGGCTTCCCTCGCCCAGCCCCAGCCGCCAGAGACAACCATCACCAATGTGGGGAGGGAGACATCAGCACCATAAACAAGGCAGAAATAAGAGCCTTGTTGCCAAGAGGCTGGAAGGAGCTGTTTCTGATTCTGTGCTCTCAGACATACTAGTAGAGCCGCAGAAAAAAGGTTAACGAATTTGGGGCATCATCTCATCCAAACCTCCTTTCACACAAGTAAACTGAGGCCCAAGGGGAGGAGGGCTTTGCCCAAGGACCACAGGGCAGAGTCCCAGGGCAGGGGCCGGTTCACCATAACCTCTCATCCCCAATTCAATAGTCAAACCAGCTGACAGTTGGCAAGTGTCTGGGAATTCTGGAAGCCTTATAAACACCTGTATGCTGAAAACTGCGAGGCGTGTGCATCTGATTTTCCAAGTCCGGGCCAACCATGTGCATCTGGCCCACGAGTCACGCTCCTGCCGTTAAGCCATGTCATGAAAGGAAAGCTGGCCATGAGTCACTTCCTTGGCATCCAAGCCGCCATCAGAATGGTCTCCAGAGGAGGCGACAAAGATGCCAGTGGGTCTTCCCATTCAAGAACGGACTGAATTACAAGCATGAGTGACAGGTCTTTTCCACCCAGCCCCCAACCTATTTTCAGGTAAAACAAACATTTGCAAACACCTAAGCCAAAGAATGTAGCTGTGCATGCCAAGCTCTGGTGTGGGGAGTTCCCTCCAGGACTCTGGCATTGTCAGTGGAAGACACAGCCCTGTTTGTCCAGAATTATGTCCTTGGCAGACAGGGGCAGGGAAGCAAGCAGTCTTCTGAAAGGACCCTGATAGGATAACGAGACCGAGCCACAGGGAGGGAAACGGAGGAGCTCTAGGCAGCAGGGACTCGGACTCGGGCACGTTCCTGGCGCTTTTCTCTGCAAATAAATTCGAAAGTGCTTCCTGGGCAGCTCCAATGCCAATCAGGGAGGATGGCAGCTGTGTGTGCAGGAGGTGCTGTGGGCACAGCACCCGAGGTGGAGTCCCGCTGAGGACAGCTTGTCCCGTGCTCCCAGGGCCCGTGCTCCCAGGGCCCGTGAGTCCTCTCCCGCACAGGCTGATTCTGACACGCAGAGAGCAGCAGAGGCCTGAAGCCAGCCCAGGCGCTTCTCAGGGAGAAGGACAAGATAGGGACACGCCTCCCCGACATCAGGAATCACTAGAAAGCTGCAGTGATTAAGACCGTGGGGGACTGGCACAGGGACAGCTAAATAGACCGATGAAACAGAAGCGAGTCCAGAAACTGATCCGTGCATATGTGGGAACCCTGACATATGAGAGAGGTGGTGCACAAATCAGCGAAAGGATGCTCTGTCTAGTAAACAGCGCGGGGTAGCCGTTATCCATTCAGAAACAAGGAGGGAAAAGAAATTGGATCTTTACACCAGACACAAAAATCAATGCCAGGCGGATTAGAGACCTAAATGTGGAAGGCAAAAGCACCTCATGTGGTCAGCTCCAGGTCCAGCCAAAAATCTTTGGATCAAGTCTGTCCTTCATGAAAGAGGAAACACGTGGCCCTGGGATGCTCACACAGTGTTCTCAGTCACTGCGAGGACAGTGTTGGCTCCCGATCATCTCGCTGCCCTACTCCAATGCCTCCTCTGCCAGGAAGTCCTTCCTGACTACCATTCCCCAAGAGGCGGGAGCCCTGTTGAACCCAACAAGTGGTGCCAGGGCATAATCTTCACAACCGCGTAAAAAGCTCACATTTATCCATCACTTACTCTGTGTAGGATCTTGACCTGTATCGTCCCATGTAATCCTTGCAATCACTCCATGCGGTAGTTTCTATGTCACACCCATTTTACAGATGAAGAAACTGAGACTTCTATTACAGAGGGGAAGTGGTTTGACTAAAGTCACACAGCTTCTAGGTGTCACAGTCAGGATTCAAATCCAGGTCCATCTGACTCTAAGGTCTTGACAATCTTCCTAATTATTTTCATACTATGATAGGCCCTGACCCTTTAACAGATATGGAATCAACTTGCTAATACCAACAGCTTAACCAATGAAATCAGAATGGACTGGACCTGAAAATATCCAAGGGTCTCACACATAGATTCTGTTTGTGAATCTCTGTTTCCCACAAAAGTGGATATGTATGTACGGGGTGGCAGTGAAAATATATTTCTTGCTATCGGTCACAACCAGCACAGTCTTCATTCCATGCAGCAGGGAGCTGTTGGGGAAAGGTCGCTGTGTAGACTTCACCCTGCACGCACAGAATGGGACTTGGTCTTGGCGTGAGCCTCCTCACTTGCTAAGGTGAAGCTTGGAAGCAGCTCTTTCAGTTCGTGGCTATGTGCAAAGACGGGAGATCAAAATGCCTCTAAAGAGGGTCTTTTCCTAGGTGGTGTCTTGGGAGGGCCAGGCAGCATCTCAGTCAACAGCCAGCAACCCTGCACCCCTCCCCACCCCACTGCCGACTTTTCCCCTTCCTGACCCCAGGCTGACCATCTGGATCCGCAAGAGAAAGCTGCTGTTTCCCCCCAAAACGCAGAGCCATCTTGGGTTTAAGAAGATTACAAGAGAGTGGCCATTAGGGACATCCTGCCTTTTAATTTCTTTAAAGTTCACACGGAAGGGCCTTTTTGCCATTTAATTTTGTTTTCATCAACAGTCTCACTATCAAAGTTTTTCCGGTCACTTCAACCGTTGAGTTTGGATCGTCTTTTCAAGGTACAAGGCCTTCAACTTGACTTAAACGGGAGGTGGGAGGTCCAGCAATCCTACTGGCTGCCAGGAGGTAAAGTGGGCTTCCCTGAGAGCTGGCCCGGGGCTCAGCAGGACTTGGAAGCCAGCCCTCGCTGCCCTTTTCCGTCTGTGGCTCCCACTACTATCCCCTCGCAGGGCTGGCCAGAGCCCAGTCTCGCTTCTTTGGTGGGACCCACAGCTCTTCCTCGGCTCCTGCAGGAGTCAGGGGATGCTGTCATTTAGTTTGGGTGTGTGATTATTCCCTAAGTCCTCATCAGTGTCTGTCCCGCTGAGCTGCCTGTGACTTTTAAAGGCAACTGCATTCTCCCCAGACCCTGTGCTCCCTGAAACTTCACTACTTGGGCTGCTCCTCAGCCGTCCCAAGCACAGTACTTCCTCTGCCTGGAGGGCCCATCTCACTCAGACACTGAACTCCGACATTGTCCACAAGACCCAGCTCAAATGCCACTTCCTCCATGAAGTCATTCCTGGGCCCCACACTCCCACAAAGAAATCATAACCCCCTTGTCTATGCTTCCATACTTGACTGTGTTTTGCCCAGATCTCCACTATCCCACCATCTATAATGTTGGTCTATCTTCTCTAGGGTGCCTCGAGGAAGATGAAACATCCCTAGAGCCTCCTAAGTGCTTGTTGAATGAATGAATGAATGAATGAATGAATGAATGAATGAATGTGTGGTCCATTAGCATGACATTAGCCACAACAGTAAAATATTAACTAGGGAGTGCTTCCACAGCAGCTCCAAGTGATACACCAACCTTCTGCCTCTACTTCTCCTCAAGTCAGGTGACCGGAAAACACTGTCCCTTGCATATAGCATTAGTTAAAGCCCAGGCGAAGTACCTTCACTGGAATATCAGGCATTCAACATTGGTCAGAGGCGATGAAAGGAAACAGCCATACAAAAGACTTCTTTTTTTAAACAGCTCCTCCCCCCCACATATGCTCATTAGAATATTCAAATTCCATATCAATCCCTCCTACAGTTCATTACCAGGAAAAACTTTTTTTTCCTGATGAACGGTTAACTTGTCTCTGATTGAAAATCAGGAACACTGGAAACCACTACATGTCCCTCTTTGCCTTGGCTGCCAGGAAGCTCAGTCAGATTCAGTGCTCAATTGCCACAATCACATCATTGCCACAATCACATCATTGCTGGTACCTGGTGCAATGACCTTCCCCTTTCCTCTACAAAATCTCTTAACTTTTTCCAGCCTTAACTGACTTAGATATCTGTAATTGTTTATTTTGCAAGACACCTTAAGTCCTTTGTGAAAGTGAAGGCTGGGAGAGGTAAAAAGAATAACAGAAAAGAAAGACAGATGAGGAGAGAGAAACAGAAGAGAGAAGGCATTATTGGTGCCTTTTTTCCTGGTTACAGGAAGTGAAGGGCTGAAGAGTGGGGTGCAGAAAACCCAGGAATGCACATGGGCACACATGTGTGTGTTGGTGCACCCATGCACTTGTGAAAAAAGCTCCCTCCCCGCTTCCCCATTGACAGTCACAAGGAATAGTTATGTTCCACATCCCTACTTCTCTGAGCTTTTGGAATTCTTTCTTAGGATGTCATTTTGGGCTTCTGCTCCCTTCCCATCAGGGCCCCCTGTTGCTGTCCTTGACTATGACCCAGGAAGAAAATAAACTGAGGTCGCAATTAATATACTGTTCACTCCAGTGCAACCAGTTGGGATAAAACTTCTCTGCCTACTGCCACAGACTCCTGTGAGACCTCAAGGTCAAGACCACCAGGTAGGCACACCCTTCTCACAGACACCACATTCCTGATGTCTGAGCTAGAAGGATACTCAGGGTCATCTTTCCAAACCAAGAAAAACTGAGGTCCAAGGGGAGAATAGACTTCCTTAGCTTATTTTATCTGAAGCATTTATGTCCTTTGACCCCATGGTAGAAAGGACAGTAAGCTAGGAGCGATACCAGGGGGTTCTTGCCTCACCTATACTTT